CGATCCATCTATTTCCATCTTAGAATGATTCACCCAATTTAAGGACTGTCTTGGATGCAGATGTACTTACTGTGAAACTGAATGTTCATGAATCACTACCTCCAGGAAAAGCATGGCGGTACTCCCGTGTCGATCGTAAGATACAGTTTATAATGATGTTCAAACGCGTCAAGATGATTACATGTAGATTCACTGATAGATATAATCAATACCAGGGCATACATGGATCCAATACATCAGGATCAGCGATAGTTCGTGTACCACTTCATTAAGGTTTGCATGCCAAATGTAATCATGCACTGCCCGACCTCATTTGACGTTGATTCCAGTGCTCTTTCTTATAATGGATACATCTGTCATCGGTGTTAATCATACTTAACGCTTAGGAACCACCAAATCCAGTACTCGGCGACACATATCACGTGATCAGGACTCCCATACGTTTACATATTAGCAGGGGCGGTCGGGTAGCCTAGTGGTTAGAGCGTTCGATCGTCACGCCGAAGACCCGGGTTCGATTCCCGACATTCCCGAACGTGATATAGCTGGAATAATGCTGACTGCAGTGTAAAGAGTGAGTGAGTGAGTGAGTATTGTTTTACGCCGCTTTTAGCAATATTACAGCTTTATGACCGCGGGGCACACCAAAACATGGCGTGACAGAGAACGCTTTAAAAACTGGGCTACTCCGGAGCCCAAAAGCGTAAAGAACCTTCGTAATACTTGACGGCAATGTCGGAACTGAATGACCAGGAGACAAATTTGAAACCTCGAGACCTGGACCCATGTAACCTGGCGCAGCCGTCGATCAGCTCGTGTTGTGCTAAATGTTTTTTGTAACTGACGAGCGCAGTATCTATTGAGTAGTGCAATACTGGGACCCGTTCCACAAATCTTAGTGCTATGACTGTCGTAAGCCTATGTTTAAGTATGGGAGTTACGATCATCTTACCGCTAAGATCGCTCTGTGGAACAGGGTCCTGATCAATTAGCTACGAAAGCGACCTTTGCCCACTTGCAATGTCTTTTATTTCGTTTGGAGGGGCGGTCGGGTAGCCTAGTGGTTAGAGCGTTCGCTCGTCACGCCGAAGACACGGGTTCGATTCCCGACATGGGTACAATGTGTGAAGCCCATTTCTGGTGTCCCCCGCCGTGATATTGCTGGAATATTGCTAAAAGCGGCGTAAAACCATACTCACTCACATATTAGCCACAGGGCTAGACCCCAGTAGTCGCCTCTTACGACAAGCAGGGTCGCCTTTTACGGCAAGCATGGTTTCTAAAGAGGTATTCTAACCCCGGATCTTCACACTGGCGAATGGTGTTTTGTAACACTTACCACTTTTGAATTCCAAAGAATTATTCGCATTTAAACGCGGCCCCCATTAGTTCTGTAGTTTAATGAATGTTTCTATAAAATAACTACAGTTCAGTGTAATTAAAAACGACAATACTATTTCCATAATAAAAAAGTCCAGTGTACGATTACGACCATATCATGAGCATGTCAAGTGTTCGCCTGAAGAAAACACGGCAACATATGGTACAAGTTAAAATATAGGAAATTTGCTTTGGACATACTTTTGGTCATTGATGCGTCAGATTTTGATATGACCTCCACGTGTCTACCATAAAAGGTTTTCAAAACCTCTACAAAGGTCTTGAATGACGTAACCCTGATTAAACAACATGTCAGTCGCATGACGAGGTAGCAAAAGTACTGTAAGTCCCCATGGTCCCCAGTGTGGTGATCTACCTTCAGTTTTTGGAGATCAATAGCCTGTTTTTATAATGTATTGTTATGTTTCGTAATATCCATTTTATGATTTAATACTAGTTTTACATATTTCTCTGTGACATGTCTAGTTGTTTTACTGCCAGTCGTTGGCAGGTTCTTTTACGTTTCAAAGTATTTATAATCTTTAATCTTGATAGTCACGATATGGCTGAAATATTGCCGATGTGACTTAAAACTTAACTCACTCACTCACTCACTCTCTCACTCTTTGAAATCTTCGTAGAAAGAGCATGTTCAATTGTACCTCCAAAGGTTACTTCCGTTCCTGCTTTCCTGCTCGATACGGTGAGGTGAGGTGAGGTGAGGTGAGGTGAGGTGAGGTGAGGTGAAATGGGGGTTAACGTCGCGTCCAAGATTATTGCACTTATATAGCGACGTGCATGTACGTGTGTGTGTTTGTGTGGCTGCTTGTACTAGTCCGGACTGATGCCGATTTATAGTGCTAGCTCACTGAGATACCATGCCGCAGTTTTAACATGAATACCCTACTCAGACACAGTATACTGACTCCGAGCCGACCAGTCCTTGTTTTAGCCCCTTAATGCCGAGCGCCAGACAGGGTAACAACAAGTACCATCTTTTAACGTCTTTTGGTATGACGCGGTCGGGGATCGAACTCCGGACCTTCCGCTCTCCGGGCGGACGCTCTACCACTAGACCACGGAGGCGGTCCTGCTCGATACGGTCAGTCATGACATCATCTAATATGAGCCAATCTTTCCTCTGATTTGCTCTGCTAGATTAACTGACAGACTAGAGATGCTACAGGCAGCCGCAGCACGGATTGCTGCAGGCATTTCAAAATGTGCTTCCCAAGCTGGTGTGTGTTATGCACCAAGATGGTTACCATTATGTATTAGAGGCAGACAGAACAAAAACTGTGTGCGTTTGACAAACTTGTCAACAACATAGCTCCAGATTATCTTCATATATCTTAGTTCCTTAAACAAATGAAACTTTCACTGCAAGGAATGAAATAATTTTTTTCCAACACCACATTAAGAACAGCTATTCTGCATAAAAATCTTCATTATGATAGCAGCTATATGTGGAATCAACTTCAATCAGTAGTAATAGTAGTAAATTCGTTACCAGGATTTAAACAGAAAATAAGTCATAAACAAAAGGATGTGCCTTGTTTTATTCTGCTTGGAAACAGGCATGCATGCAGGTAGTGTTTTATTCTGCCTGGAAACAGGCATGCACGCAGTTAGTGTTTTATTCTGCTTGGAAACAGGCATACTTGCAGTTAGTGTTTTATTCTGCTTGGAATCAGGCATGCATGCAGTTAGTGTTTTATTCTGCTTGGAAACAGGCATGCATGCAGTTAGTGTTTTATTCTGCTTGGAAACAGGCATGCATGCAGTTAGTGTTTTATTGCATTAGACCACATAGATTATTAATACACGTCTTTTCCAAATTTGGCATTAAACTTTATCTTAATGTTATTCTAACCTCAGAAAACATTTTAAATTCCTTTTTAGAGTTGTGCAGTTATATTCTGTCGACTAGTAGATTAAACTTATTCCTGCTTTTGTCTCCAGTTATGTGCGTGGTAATTAACACTGTTGATGCATGTATCGATCTATTGCTCAGTCTGTACTATAAACAGAAAAGTTTCACGTAAGTCCCTGGAGCTAGTTTTCCCAATCCTGTTGATTGTCTTCAGTCAATGAAATATGTTGGACTAAATATGACCTCCATTCATCACACCCCAGAGTGTGGAGTCTGAATAAGTGGAAAATAAATTGTAATTACAATTTGATATTGATTTCTTGAAATCGGTCCCTAGAGACTTGGGCAAAGATTGTATCTTGTTCCAAATGTTATCCCTATCATCTGTGATGATCAATATGAAGAGTATTACATGAGTGTACAAAACGAGTGTCAAAATGTATAAATATGCCGAGCGATTCATCCACTTGAAGGGGGCACGGTGGCCCAGTCGTCTAAGGCGCCGCGATTCGCACAGCAGAGTTGCGTCCCCTGACGCCAGAAACCTATGATTGTGGGTTCGAATCCCGTTTCGCCTCGATTATGTTTCTAGGTTTGTCAGCACCATACCCGTGCTCGTGGGTTTCACCGAATTTGTAAACGTCTTAGACCTGCATCACTTCGGTCTTTCCTCCCACATTAAGCTGACACGCCGTGATATAACTGGAATACGTTAAACCCAACTCACTCATCCACTTGAAAACTGGATTTGACAAAAGCATTACAAACGTTATCAAAACGTAGCTATAAAGATGGAAACTGTCCCCGAGACACTGCTAAAAAAAGGTAAAAAACACACAACTCAGATACCCGTATCAAATACCCCGCCATCGAATAGCCTTTTGTTGTTGTTTCATTTTCATCTACCATCAAGCATGGGTGTATACCTACTTTTGTTCGGCAGTTTACAGGAATTCTGACGCTAGATTCGTAATATCATTTTCTGGGTCATCTGTGCGATTGTTGCGAAGAAGTAAGTGCAGTGTTTACGCCAATACGCTCAACATGTCAGTGATGTATGACGTCATCATTTTGGACGCCGATTTGAATTGATAAATAAATTAAAAGTGACAAAACCATTTCCATATTCATTCATATAAAAGCAACAAATAGTGTTCATGCCAGGTGTTGGCAAAAAACTTAGCGTATCCTTTGTCTTCAGCAACCCATGCTTGCCGTAAAAGGAGACTATGCTTGTCGTAAGAGGCGATAAACGGGATCGGGTGGTCAGGCTCGCTGACTTGGTTGATGCATGCCATCGATCCCAATTGCGTGGATCGATGCTCACGATGTCAATCACTGGATTGTCTGGTCCAGACTCGATTATTTACAGACCGCCGTCATATAGCTGGAATATTGCTAAGTGCGGCGTTAAACAACATTCAAAACAAACAAAACTAACATGTAGACCAATTCATCTTCAAACTCACCACCCTATTTCTATTAAGAGGTGACTGAAGTAGGTCACGTGGGGAATCCGTGTTAGAAGAAGCCTGCGCTTGTTGTGCGAGGCAAATGAATTGATCAGGGGGTCAGGCTCATTGGTTCATTGCGTGTCATCAAGCCCCGAGGGTGTAGGGCGTTGCTCATATTATCAATCACTTGATGTCAAGTCAGGATTCGCTTATTTAAGGATTCAATAAGCCAAAAAAACCACATCTTTTAAAAGTATGGTTTATTCTGTACTAAAGTATTATATTTTTTTCAGATCAGTGTGACATCCTCCCTTTGTAAGATGACCGTTCAACAAAACATATCCTATTGATACTTTGATAAACTCAGCTTTGAACTTCTGACAAGATCGAGGACTTATTCAGATGGGTGAAAATTACGGCTTTAAAAAGGTCAAGGAATAAAACAAACGATAAATCAGAATGTTGGCGAAGATGATTTTCTTTTATTTAACATGTTTGTGTTTACAGTCTTTATCTACCATCTTTTAAAAGTATGGTTTATTCTGTACTAAAGTATTATATTTTTTTCAGATCAGTGTGACATCCTCCCTTTGTGAGATGACCGTTCAACAAAACATATCCATGGCGGAGATTAACTTCTCCTTGTGTCAAGGGAACTCTTCAAGGGAAGAGTACGACCATCTGATCAGAGTATCCGACTACATAAAACAAATCTACATCTGGGTTGTGTTTGCCTTTGGTTTCCCTGGCAACATCATCAGCGCTATTGTGGTCACCAGGATGTGTCAGCAACGTCTTACAACGTCGTTGTTTTACGTCGGTTTGCTCGCCGTGGTGGACAACGTCGCTATTGTTCTGAAGCTCGTGGAGAACCAGTCCCAGAACAGGAGACTCGCCATGGACGACACCAGCTGTAGAGGACTGTTCTTCCTGGGGCTTATTTTCTCCACCTACGCCAACTGGATACTGACCACCCTGGCAATAGAGAGATTCTTCGCTGTCAGGTACCCGTTCAAGATGGCGGTGTTGTGGACTGTGAGGAAAGGCCTGGTGATTATTTCGTGTGTGTTTGTGCTGCTGTGTCTGATCCACCTGCATCTGTTGTGGACAGTCATTCACTATGAAGGATACACGTGTACGCTGACACTAGAAGGGCCATCGTTTAAGGCCTGGTTCTATGTCGGGTCCTTCCTGTACGCCATCCTGCCGGCTTCCTGCCTCTCCATCTGCAACATCCTCATCATCATCTACGTCAGGAGGTCTGCCACCAGACGGCGGGCTCTGTCGGAGAACCACTCGACTACTGTGGCCACGAGAAGAATCGAGGCACAGCTTACAGCTGTCTTAGTGACTGTGGCTGTGGTATTTGTCATTCTGTCGATTCCTAGATGCGTTTTCACGGTCGCATATGCGTACTGGAATCCAACCAGTTGTTCTATAGGTGAGGCGAGAAAATATTTCTTCGACGTCCTGACCAGCAACATCGCCGACACCAACCACGCCGTTAACTTCTACCTGTACTTCCTAGCTGGGAGGAGATTCAGACATGCCTATTTCTCGACTATCCGGGAAGTCTCGTCCCGGAAAAGAACTCCACCCAACACAGACAGTGATAGGACGAGATAGGATAATGGTCCTTTTCTGACCCACTGGAAAAGTCAAATTTTAAATTTACGGAACACTTTTATATTGATACTTTGATAAACTAAGCTTTGAACTTCTGACAAGATCGAGGACTTATTCAGATTGGTGAAAATAACGGCTTTAAAAAGGTCAAGGAATAAAACAAACGATAAATCAGAATGTTGGCGAAGATGATTTTCTTTTATTTAACATGTATGTTTTTACAGTCTTTATCTACCTCTCCTAAAAAATCAGCGCTGGTCAAGGACTGGCACATGTTGAGATACTAGAGAAAGGCTTTCTTTAAGCCTAAAAAATCAGCAGTTTTAATACATTTTAGCCTTACATCAACATCCAAATTTGTTACTATTCTGTAACTAAGTGATGATATGTACAGTCAAATTAAAAGAAACAAGTTCTGAAAGATATACTAATTCCATAACTTATGCAGACCATGTGGGTTAAAAAGGGCCCTTGTCATACTTTGTCCTTTGAAATGACCAAACTTTGTTTTATATAATCATAAAGAAATGAACTAATTAAATCAAAGCTGTTTCAACGTTGGTTCAATAAAATATCGTGCAACCTCGAGGTCTTAGCATATTTATGGCGGTTGAACCCTTGTCCGGAATCGAACCAGGCTCTTCGGCACAACGGTTGAACGCTTAAAACCACTTGGCCAAGCCAACGTCCAACACATGGAAGAAGATACAAGCAGCAGCAGTAGCCGTAGGAGCAATAGTAGCAGTACCAGTAATAGTTTTATGGTTTAATGCCAATTCGGATGATGTTTTAGATGGAGAGTGAGACAAGTGTGCCACAGCAGACAGGACAGTGTGGTTTTGAATTGTATTTATATGAGATTTAGGACTCAAATTTCGGAAAACGAAAATATGTTTTGTTCAATATAACACTTCATAATTTTACCGAACTAATTTTGTGTAGAGTATTCAAAATTTGTTTCACAATTTCCGGCACACCTTTACAACTGGCACCCGTGAAGATCCGGGGTAGAATAGGTCTTCAGCAACCCATGCTTGAAGTAGAATGTGACTATGCTTGTCGTAAGAGGCGACTAACGGGACTTGGTTGATGCATGTCATCGAATCCCGATTGCGTGGATCGATGCTCATGATGTCAATCACTGGATTGTCCAAACTCGATTATTTACAGACCGCCGTCATATAGCTGGAATATTGCTGAGTGCGGCGTCAAACAACAAACAAACAAACAAAACTACAACATGAAGTACGTGTACCACAAATCCCACTGCACCGGTTCAATGATGCGCAAATAAAATACCACATGTAACACTGGTGATACGGCTTCATGCTGCCGGAAACTGGCACCAAACGAAAGATGGCAGCCATGAGTGGGTTCCATCGCATGAATTGTGAGGTCGTCCATAAAAAAACCCAACATACCTGACAGGATAATAGTAACTGCTACTTATTATTATTTTAGTTTCATCGTAAAATGAGGTTCGAATATTACTTGTGCACTGAGAGCGTGGTCGCTTAAATAAGCTGTGGGCACGGGGTAACATGCTTTTACTTCCGGGGTTAGTTTGAGATTATTGATGGGAAATCGACATGCGTGGATATTTAAGGACTCTTCTACCACGAAGTCGTAACGTCAACGCCAGATAATAATCAATCTCTTACAGCCGCCGAAACAGATTCCATTGAGCTTAAAAGGCAAAATAGTGATGACAATTATCAGTCGATCAGTGAAAATCAGTGGTAACGACTGGTATAAGCATGCCCTGCTCTACCGGTCGCATACGTCACTCACAATTTGCATAAAAAAAGTAAGTGTTTGTTTGTCTGGACCAGACAATCAAGTGGCACGATGGCGCGTTTACTGATTTTGTTGAAACTGAGAACGTTATGTTAACTTTGAATTACTAAGTACTTTGTTTTTTAATCAGAATTTGGTTAGTTTGGTAACGTGTTCTTGGCAGAGAGCATGATAGAAATCGATAAAGAAATTTGACGCTTCTCTATAACAGGCTGTGAAGTTACATCAGTTGTGTTTCACACACGGTGGGGAGTACAGGCACATGACGTTACACACGGTGATGAGTACAGCACATGCCGTTACACACGGTGATGAGTACAGGCACATGACGTTACACACGGTGGTGAGTACAGGCACATGACGTTACACACGGTGATGAGTATAGGCACATGACGTTACACATGGTGATGAGTATAGGAACATGACGTTACACACGGTGGTGAGTACAGGCACATGACGTTACACACGGTGGTGGGTACAGGCACATGACGTTACACACGGTGGTGGGTACAGGCACATGACGTTACACACGGTGGTGGGTACAGGCACATGACGTTACACAGGGTGGTGGGTACAGGCACATGACGTTACACAGGGTGGTGAGTACAGGCACATGACGTTACATACGGTGGTGAGTACAGGCACATGTCGTTACACGGTGGTGAGTACAGGCACATGACGTTACACGGTGGTGAGTACAGGCACATGACGTTACACGGTGGTGAGTACAGGCACATGTCGTTACATACGGTGGTGCGTACAGGCACATGACGTTACATACGGTGGTGCGTACAGGCACATGACGTTACATACGGTGATGAGTACAGGCACATGACGTTACACACGGCGGTGAATACAGGCACATGACGTTACACACGGTGGTGAGTACAGGCACATGACGTTACATACGGTGGTGAGTACAGGCACATGACGTTACACACGGTGATGAGCACAGGCACATGACGTTACACAGGGTGGTGAGTACAGGCACATGACGTTACACACGGTGGTGAGTACAGGCACATGACGTTACACACGGTGGTGAGTACAGGCACATGACGTTACATACGGTGGTGAGTACAGGCACATGACGTTACACACGGTGATGAGCACAGGCACATGACGTTACACAGGGTGGTGAGTACAGGCACATGACGTTACATACGGTGGTGGGTACAGGCACATGACGTTACATACTGTGGTGAGTACAGGCACATGACGTTACACAGGGTGGTGAGTACAGGCACATGACGCTACATACGGTCATGAGTACAGGCACATGACGTTACACACGGTGGTGAGTACAGGCACATGACGTTACACACGGTGGTGAGTACAGGCACATGACGTTACACACGGTGATGAGTACAGGCACATGACGTTAGACACGGTTATGGGCACAGGCACATGACGTTACACACGGTGGTGAGTACAGGCACATGACGTTACACACGGTGGTGGGTACAGGCACATGACGTTACATACGGTGGTGAGTACAGGCACATGACGTTACATACGGTGGTGAGTACAGGCACATGACGTTACACACGGTGGTGAGTACAGGCACATGTCGTTACATACGGTGGTGAGTACAGGCACATGACGTTACACGGTGGTGAGTACAGGCACATGACGTTACACACGGTGATGAGTACAGGCACATGACGTTACACACGTTGGTGAGTACAGGCACATGACGTTACATACGGTGGTGAGTACAGGCACATGACGCTACATACGGTCATGAGTACAGGCACATGACGTTACACACGGTGGTGAGTACAGGCACATGACGGTACACACGGTGGTGAGTACAGGCACATGACGTTACATACGGTTGTGGGCACAGGCACATGACGTTACACACGGTGGTGAGTACAGGCACATGACGTTACATACGGTGGTGGGTACAGGCACATGACGTTACACGGTGGTGAGTACAGACACATGACGTTACACACGGTGGTGAGTACAGGCACATGACGTTACATACGGTGGTGAGTACAGGCACATGACGTTACACACGGTGATGAGCACAGGCACATGACGTTACATACGGTGATCAGTACAGGCACATGACGTTACATACGGTCATGAGTACAGGCACATGACGTTACATACGGTGATCAGTACAGGCACATGACGTTACACACGGTAACGAGTACAGACACATGACGTTACACACGGTGGTGAGTACAGGCACATGACGTTACACAGGGTGGTTAGTACAGGCACATGACGTTACATACGGTCATGAGTACAGGCACATGACGTTACACACGGTGGTGAGTACAGGCACATGACGGTACACACGGTGGTGAGTACAGGCACATGACGTTACACACGGTTGTGGGCACAGGCACATGACGTTACACACGGTGGTGAGTACAGGCACATGACGTTACACACGGTGGTGAGTACAGGCACATGTCGTTACACACGGTGGTGAGTACAGGCACATGACGTTACACGGTGGTGAGTACAGGCACATGTCGTTACACACGGTGGTGAGTACAGGCACATGACGGTACACACGGTGGTGAGTACAGGCACATGACGTTACACACGGTTGTGGGCACAGGCACATGACGTTACACACGGTGGTGAGTACAGGCACATGACGTTACACACGGTGGTGAGTACAGGCACATGTCGTTACACACGGTGGTGAGTACAGGCACATGACGTTACACAGGGTGATGAGTACAGGCACATGTCGTTACACAGGGTGATGAGTACAGGCACATGTCGTTACACACGGTGGTGAGTACAGGCACATGACGTTACACGGTGGTGAGTACAGGCACATGACGTTGCACAGGGTGGTGAGTACAGGCACATGTCGTTACATACGGTGATGAGTACAGGCACATGACGTTACACACGGTGGTGAGTACAGGCACATGACGTTACACGGTGGTGAGTACAGGCACATGTCGTTACATACGGTGATGAGTACAGGCACATGACGTTACACACGGTGGTGAGTACAGGCACATGACGTTACACACGGTGGTGAGTACAGGCACATGACGTTACACACGGTGGTGAGTACAGACACATGACGTTACACAGGGTGATGAGTACAGGCACATGACGTTTCACACGGTAACGAGTACAGGCACATGACGTTACACACGGTGGTGAGTACAGGCACATGACGTTACACAGGGTTGTGAGTACAGGCACATGACGTTGCACGGTGGTGAGTACAGGCACATGACGTTACACACGGCGACGAGTACAGGCACATGACGTTACATACGGTATGCCAATGTACTGACTTACTGTACATACATATCTTACTTCTGCGTAATGAGGAGACGTGAGACGCCACTGTTGCTACAGCTTCTATTACCACCACCACCACCACCACTACCACTACTACTACTACTACCACCAAGCTCCTTCCCAGCGCGTGACACATTCGTTACACTCTCTGTAACCTCACTGCATTCAGTGTGGAAGCAGACATTACAAGAATCTTGAAATTTTACCTCTAACCTCAAATGTAGTAACGACTATACGTTTGTCTACGTCTTCGGGAATGCCATCATAGTGAAAAGGTTTACCACTGACTAGATTTCCCAGATGAATTCACGTTTTGTTTGTTCAATCAGATTGGTTCGAGATTGCGGACTAACGGAAAATCACCCAACTCTCCCCTTACATTCTTACTATACCAATTACATGACAGTTGAAATGAAATAGAAGTTCAAAATGACCAACAAGGAACGTAATGTAGCTGGGGTAGGTGTATTCGACGTCACGGCAGTCATCACTTGTTTGTA